AAATGAATAAATAAAATCTTTAAAAAAAAAAAAAAAGAAATCACTAACCGAACATGGTAGTTGACCATCAAGGGAATGAGTTCATACCTGGAATCCCTCCAGAGACGAGGAAGGTAGACCAGGAAGCCGCTGCTGCTGCTGCTACCATCACTGACACCGCTTGACTGCATCTTGATGTTCAAAGAACTGGTGACTTGGCAATGGAATGTGGACCCTTGATATGTAAGAATCTCAAGAATGAATTCAAGAACACTGCTGCTGCAAAACTTTGTCACTGTGAGCTTATTTGCAAGGAAGTTACTGAAAGCAAGTAGGAAGATAGCTTCTGCTTCATTTTCATCTTCCAGATCTTTCAGGAATGCACCTGATAGATGGAATGTAATTCATATTCAGAACCTAAACTGTGAAGAAGTCAAGAAAATGTAATTTTTGGCTTCCCAGAATCTGCATATCAGGAAAAGGCTGGGACAGAAATTGAGCAAGCCAGTCCACAATATTTGCCATAGAAAACTTGTCTTCATTCAAGATATTGGCAAAAATAATCAACAGTCCAGAACCATATGGGCCACTACTAAAAAATGCTCTCCAGATAGATATCATAACTCATATTCAAATAACTTGCCCAGGTTATAAATAGCAGAGCTGAGACTTAAAACCAGGTCTGAAACTAATGACCAGAATGTTGTAATGCCTTTTACTTTGATTCATTAATTCTCTTCAATTATTTAAGCAGTCTGTAATCTACCTAATTTTATCTTTTCTCTCTCTCTGTCTTTGGACAGATATGAAACAGTATTCAAGTGCTGTGCTAAAATCAGGGTATTCTTTAAGAGCCTCTCATAATTTACCAATTCCAATGAAAAAGAGATGCAGTGTGCCATTCTGAGGGGAATCCAAGATGGTTTAATGATCCTCAAGCTAATCTAACATTTCCCACTGCTGCTGAAAACCTGTTATAATTTGGATTTGTGTTGTGACAGAACAGTTAAAGTAACTGACTTAAACCAGGAAGAAATTTCTCTTAGGGCTCCTGGGTGGCTTAGTCGGTTAAGCATCTACTTTTGGCTCAGGTCATGACCCCAGGGTCCTGGGACGGAGTCCTGCATGGGGCTCCCTGCTCAGCAGGGAGTCTGCTTCTCCCTCTGCCCCTCCCCCTGCTTGTGTTCTCGCTCTCTCAAATAAATAATATCTTTTAAAAAAAAATTTCTCTCAGGTAAAACACAGAGGCAAGCAGTCAGGACTAGCAGGCAGTTTCCCTTACTGTCATCAGGGCCTCAGGATCCTTCTGTATTGTTACTCCATCATCCCTATTGTGTGGTTTTACCTCAAAGACCAAGGGAGCTAACTAGAGTTCTAGTCATCGCAGGTGCATTCCAGCCAGCAGGGAGGAAGGAGGGCAAGTACACTTCAAAGAAATTGCACACAAATCTTTTGATGACATCCTTTTTGGTTGAGCACTTTTAAGTGGCTCCATTTAACTACAAGGGAAGCTGGTAAATGTAGTCTTTCATGCAGATGGCTAGGTGAATGTTATTAGTGGCAAACAGCAGTCCTGCAAGCCTGTTCATTTGCGTCTTCTTTATATTGTAAAATCTCAAAATGTCTTCTTTAGCAACTGGCACAGAGACTGACATATTTTAGGCGCTTCATCATTTATTCAACAAACAGCCTAATTTTTATTTCCTGATGAAATGTTAAGTGGTTTAAAAATAAATGATTAGGTATACCTCTAAGAAAGGTACTTGCAAAGTTGTGTGTAAAACCCAATTTTGTATGTAAATCTTATTTTCTCCCTTGACTTCTAATACCTTAGGGCATGTATTTCCATGGTGGGAAGGGAAGAAAAGGAACTAAATAATTTAGGGGAAAGTTACAAAATACAGGTAAAATCCCAAAGCAACAAAAGTGAAAAGGAAGTGTAAGAGATAGAAAGATTGGAGGCTTAAGAGAAATAAAATCCCCACAAATTCAAACCTAATTCTAAATTTTAAACCAGAAGAAAATTTTCAAAAAAGCCACCAAATGAAAGTTTGAACAAATATCTTAAGTATAGCATAATGGTTAAAACGAGGCTTTGGAATCAAGTTATAAACCTGGCTCTCCTGCTATCAGCTGTTATCCCTACCAGTTAATCCCCAAGCTAAAATTTTCTCACTTGAAAAATGGTATTCTTCCAGAATTATTCTGAGGTGAGGAAATGAGAATATGTGCAAAATACTTAATAGAAGGTCTATTGCAAGGAAATATTCTATATATAGTAGTAATAACATTCTCATGATACATTTTATTTGTAAAATTTTCCCTTCTCTCCAAAATTAAGTACTTCTTAGAAATAAAATCTATCTTAAAAATTGTAGTCTTGGGCGCCTGGGTGGCTCAGTTGGTTAAGCGACTGCCTTCGGCTGGAGTCCCAGGATCAAGTTCCCACATCAGGCTCCCTGCTCGGCAGGGAGTCTGCTTCTCCCTCTGACCCTCCCCCTTCTCATGCTCTTTCTCTCTCTCAAATAAATAAATAAAATCTTAGAAAAAAAAATTGTAGTCTTTTTGTTTTTCCCTTTCTATCCTTGGATGCAGACTATAGCTCCAGGGCTGGTCATATACATATTTTTAAAAATCTCAGATTATGTAATATTGAAAAATGATCCCATCTAGTTATTTAAAAATTCATTTATAGCAATGGACATCATAATCAATCTCTGCTTCATATATTTAACAAAATAAACATTTTGGTCTTCTATCATGGTAATAGGTGTTTAGGAAATTTGCCTTTATAATACTAATACCTGATTCTTTAACTCAGAGGGAAGACAGGATATCGGTTAAGAGTTTACCCCAGTTAACAGCTATTTCTAAATGTAGTTCTTATTATGAACCTTCTTTTGTCCTGTTCTTAGCTCCTCAGAGTGTGAATTCTCACCTCTTCTCTTCTATATAGCATATTGTATTGGGACATATATATTTATGAAAAGTATATACATGTACTCTGAGAAATACGTGTAATTGGTTCCTCACAAGACTGTGAGCCCCTCAAGGGTGGGAACAAGATCTTGAGGCCTTAGTATCTTTCTTAGGTTACGGAACTCATTTTAGGTGGATGACCACAGATGGGCCCTTCCTCTAGCTATAAAGGATGAATCAACAATCTAAACTGATTGGCTTTTAGGTGGACCTCTGACCTAGTTTTGTCCAAAGAGACTAAAGAGGGGCTGGAGGGTGAGGAGGGAGTGCTTAATGGGAGATTCTGGTAAGGATTTTCTCTTTTGATAAAAGGCAGGGAGCTGCCCTTACCACCTTGTTTGGGATGTATGAAGATACAAAGCTTGGAGCTGTGATAGGCATCCTGTGACCACGACACAACAGACACAGAAAAGCAAAGCTGAAGATGATGCAACAGAAACAGAGATTTCTTTATAACATTGAGCCGCTGAATGAAACCCTGACATTCCATCTTCAAAATTAAGCTAAATGTCCTTACGGTTTTAGCCAGTGTTAGGTTTTCTGTAATGTGCAGGCCAAAGCACCTCAGATGTTAAACAGTACCTTCCCCCCAGATTTTCTTATTGGTTCACTGTATCCACTGGTTTTTTGCTTGCTCTTGATTATTAAACAAAATTTTGGTCATTGAGAATCCTAACATGTCTATTTTAAAGTTAACATCCAGGTAGTTCATTACTTTTTATCTTAAGTGCTGACGGTCTTAGGATTAGTTTCGCTTTCTTGAAGTACTTTAGAATTTTGGTTTATAGGCTCATTTTGTGTGGGCGTCTTCCTGCTTCTTATCGCTCCCCTTCTCAATCGCTACTCTCTTGTTTCCTTCTGTAACTGCTTCCTCCACCTGTCCAGTCAGGGTTGCAGTTCTGTGGTGACAGTAGGGCTATCACAGTTCCACGCAGATCTGTATACACAGGTGAGTAGACTGTTTGGCTCAGGTCCTGGTTACAATAGAAGTTAGAGTCCCAGGCACTGATTGTTGCTGCATCTTAAGTCTTAAGACGGGAGTGAGGAAACTCCCGTCTCAGACCCTGGTGTCATTACTCTACAGGAGTTGAAATTTCTATCTGCTCATTTATGATTCCACACCTACAGCTCAGGTTCTGCTTCACCAAAATGCTTATGTTGCCTTGGGGCACAGCTGTGCTTTAGAATTTTCTCCACTTTTTCCTACTATTTTTCTATTCAAAGCTTCAAAAATATACATATCCAGGTACTACACAGACTAGCACTTGAAAGCAAACATTATGCGAATAAGCAAAAGCAAGTATTTTTTTTGGACAAGATAAAGCTCTATGCCATGTCCCACTCATCAGTAATACATCCTAAGAGAACAGCAGAGTTCTGACAAATAAAATGAGATCTGTGTATCCTTCTGGATTAATAGCAGAGAGCAGATTAACAGCACTATCCAGCCTTGTGCTGATTTTTATCCATTTCTATGAATTTCATGAGATCTAAGGAAGAATGGCATCAGGTCTGTCTGAAAATGGCACACTGCCTATATAAGATAGACACCACAAATCACCTTAAGACCCAGTCAGTTTAATATAAAATGTTTTTAATTGTTTTTGAAAACATTTAAAAAACAATTTTTGAGCACTTTCAATAAAAAAAGAGAACTGAAATGCTACTGCAATATTCAACTACTGTAGTTTCAGCAGGTACAACAGACAACAAAACACTGGGGAAATCTGACTTTTTGCACTAAATGAAAACATGAAACAGGGCTTGTTTTTTGTCATTTATGGTGTAGTAAAGCACATTATAGTACAAGACTATTATATGAACCTCAGATGCACTGCACAAAAAAAAAAAAAAAAAACTTTCCTTCTTTTCAGTTCAAAAGTCAGTGCTTATTGCAATTATATGCAAAATTATTTACTTCATGAAGTCTTATCATGATAAACAGTATGAAAAATGTTTTAAACATGAAAACAATGAAAATAATTTGAGAAAAGAACATATTCAACAATAACTAAGCAGAATTAGTAAACATAAAAAAGTAATAACTTGTGAATAACTATGCTTGCCTGGTTAACACTGAACCAGCTTTAATACAGCCAAGGGGGGAAAAAAAAGTGGTTACAGGAATACCTAGTACTGTACAAGATAAGTCAATAACACTCATGCACATTTTGTGATCATGTATTAACATGGTGAAGCAAACTAAACTTAATTCTTCCTGCTGTAATATTCTCATGTAAGAGAATAAGAAATAGAAATATCTCATTGAGATCAATGCACATTGCTACATAAGACAATTTTATCTGTCACTTTGATGACATTTTGTCTTTTCATAATGAAACACATTTAAAAAGTTTAATCTGTGGATTGTATTGGTTGCATTTATCCTAAGAGATGTGCCTACCACAGGTTCAACAAATTTAGTGCAATATATGAACCCCAGGAAGTTTGCTGGACGAATTCAACCAAATTTAAAGTGTTTGCTGCAATACTGTACAGAGGGTTAAAAATCCTCCAGTCTTTATATTTTTATAAAAAAAGATTTCCATTATTTTTATATTAGTAGGAAGCTAATAATGTAAACAAGGGATTAGAATGGCCTCAAAATCTCCTTTTCAGAGTATCTCGTATAGAAAGGCTCCCATCATTTGTTAAAAGAAATCACACAGTTTCCTTTGGGTATTGCATACTTTGGTGTGCAGTAGTGCTGTGTCTCAGTGTACAGTGAAGAAGTAACTAGCATCAAGAAAAAATATCTAACAGATCATTAAATCAAGATAACAGCAAACACACACAAATGCCAATAACTAAGACATATCAATATATAAACCTCTGAGCCAACCCTAGCACCGTTTATTTATCAAAATATGTTAATACCCTACCTTGCAAATTTATTGAACATTTAAACCTTATTAAATTAAACCCTTCATCACATTTGTTAAATATTCATTGATTGTAGTCTTCTGATTGGCTTACTAATTAAGGTAAAGGAAAGCTTAGCTAGCTAGGTTCAAGGTAGCATAGCAATGGTTTAATGTTAGCTTTAAAAACTTAATGGCAATTTTTAAGTCTATTTGAAAGTAATCCTAAATTCACTCAGATGGAGCTGTCAACTAGTGAGCAGATTTGTGTCAACAAGAAATTCATAAATAATTATTCATAAAACAAAATGGGAGCCATACAGAGAAACATTTTAAAACACATCCTGAGTGCTTGTTTTGCAACTGTGGTTATCACAATAAATAAATTAAGCATGTAATAAAATGCTCCTCTTCTTCAAGTACTATTGATATCCCCTTTGTTTTATCAGCGACGTAAAGATTTGTGGCTTCAGACCTCAGGTGGTGAAATGTTTTTTGTTTGTTTTTTTATGTTATCTCCCTCCGGTTTATTTGTTTTTCAAAGGGATCCCATGATCAACTTGTATTACTATATTCAGGAGTGAAGGAGTCAGTCACTAAATTGAGGACTTAGGAATATTATAATTAAAAACTTCAAATTAAATCTTAAGTAGTATTTTTATATATGCATGTAGCCGTTGTGATGAAACTAAGGAAATGCTTTTATTTTCCTTCTAAATTCCCCTATCTCAACTACCAAATAATAAAACATAAAGTATTTTTCTAACATGCTTGTACTTATTCTATTAAATTGCAATATTTGGAGTTATTTTACTTGTGCGTGTGCGTGTGCACACATGTACATGCATGTCTCTGTGTGTGCTGGCTCCATATTAAAAATCAAATTTTAAAATAAGACTAATGCAAGGTCACAAATATAAATGGCTACTAGTTTTTCCTTTAAAAAATTTTAGTGCAGCTTTTGCTTTCCTTAAATTAATATTTAATTTTCCATTATTTTCTCCTATTTAAGCCCTTCAAAATGCAGGTGCAAATGGTACTGAATTCCCAGAAAGTCCTACAGAGATTTTTTTCATTCTACAGTAGCTCTATGCTTCAAGCCTAAATACCGATAATAACCTGAATATTATCCCTGTTTCAAGGAAGACCTTCTTGTCTACAGTTTACCTTAGCTATGATTTCATATCTAAAAGATAATGCCAACAACAACAAAAAATAGCCTATACCTAAAATCAGTGGTTTCCTCTACATTCTGTGCAGATCAACTGATGAATTAAAATGAACTTACACAAAATAAAGATCTAGAATGCTCTTGTAAATGCTGGTTAGTCAGTTGTTTATTAGCAAACAATGTGATTAAATGGGGGAACATTACAAAATTTAAAACCTAATACTTGCTCTTCTACAGCCTACTGTCTTCAGAAACTTGTTAAGAACTGAGGCAAGTCTAACCATTTCCTACTGAAGAAGAAACCACTTCTGCAGCAAACTCTTTTAAAATGTCACAATTAATATTAAGTGTTTCTGCTGCGGGAGGCACTTCCATTAAGACAAATACAATACATATGTCTTTAGATACAGTGTGCTACATATTATAAAATACTATTTAGCCCAACATTTCAACAGTAGGATGGTCCTTGCTTTCTATCCACTCAAAACCTGATGAAGTCATAGAGCTCATGGATTCACTGCAAATTTGTTGAAATAATGGGTCATTCTTTAATTCTTCCAGTGTAGCTTCATC